CTAACAACAGCGGAAAGCGGTAGCCTACCTGAGATACACAATTATCTTCTGGCAAGTGCTAACTCAATTCCTTGCGTCCTGCGGTTGACCGAATTATCACATACTATTGGAGACCTTGTGCAAACGTTCGGACGCTGCAAAGACTAACAAGTAAACCCATATAGTAGAGTAATCTGCTTTTGTCTTTATTCTTATAATAAACACTGCAATGTAGAAAACAGGCCTTACCGCAACTATGGTGTGTGTGCGCACTGATACAGTTTAGAAACACGACATTGCATTTTTAAAAACAAATGGTTAAAAAAACAATCACGAATGAGAAGAATCGCAATTAAAAAATGGTAATTAAAAAGTTTCCAGTCTTTCCTGCCCCCAAATGAACAGAAAATAAAAGACTTACATGAGGGATCACTGACATACTGTAGCAGACAAGACCATCTTTATTTATTTTCTTGTTTGTGCAGTTCTTGGTTTTTGAAGCCTCTTCCAGAAATAATTATTGAAAAGCTGCGAGCACTGGGGACACTTGCATCTGGATTCAATGACAGTCCCTTTCTGTGACATTTCGTCAGCATACGGAAAAAAAAAATTCCCTCATTACTGCAAACGAGTCACTTTTTGAGAGCCGGGAGCGCACAGCAGTGTATCGGAGTGGACTGCCGACGCACGTGACGGCAAGAAATTATTGCTTTCTCACTTTCCAGGGATCGAGCGAAGTGCCAAAGGCCATATATTAAAACAACTGCCAATTAAAACGACACAGGCCTGTACTTACATCCCGTTTTCGGCCGACTCGCTCCCTAATGATCTATATATATATATGCGGAGTAGCTCTGTACACGTAAGCCTGCATTGAAAATTCATTCCACTGTGTAGCTTAGGAGCGGCTCGGTATTCTAAAACATACACTACACGGGACCCCTATTCCTTCCTTTCTGTGAAAAACAGGACTTTCAGAAAGCTACTGTGCAGCTGCTTGGTAAATCTGGAGTGAGGTTCTGAGAAGCAAAACCGATTAACCGAGACTACAAAGCTGAGACGAACGCAGTCTTTGTCCCGTCGAGGAATCGACACCGGAATCGAATTTTATTTTATTTAAAAAAAAAACAGCAGCAGGATGAGGCAGCTACAAACTCCTAACGGGCTGGTTACTCTCCTTTCTCTTTCGCGATGCCTGATGTCATTCAAGCGACTTTTCTTCCAGTTTCCAAAATAAACTCGGGAGGTTCCTCTGAGAGTTTTTTTTTTTTTTGCTGTTCAGGGGAGTCCTCCTGAAGACGCTGCTAACCCATCTTACACTCTCCAATTGGCGCCCTGCTGATCTGCATCGAGGGCAGGTCTCTCCCCTCGAAAGGAAAAAAAAAAAAGTAGAGAGTCGAAATCCTACCACTAACCAGCCCCTTAAGAGACATTAGGAAAATGAATCGGGGATTTAAATGTCTGTGCACACAGCCTGAAGCGGAGGGGTGTCCCGCCAACGACTCCATTGAAACGGTCTGAATTTTCTCCCCAATTTTCGGGGAGCGCATCTGTGGTGGTGGTGGTGGGGGGGAACCGGGCTGCTGTGCGTGCGGTGAGCGAGCTGCCCTGACGTCAAGCCGAGGGACCTCCGAATCCGGGTTCGAGAATGCAGGGTCTGAGCTCGCGAGCCCACGCTTTCTCCGTGGAAGCGCTCGTCGGCAAGACGCCTTGCAAGAGGATAAAAGCCGAGGACTGCAAAGGGGAGAGGGTAGCCGGCAGCCGCGCTGACCCCGGGGAGCAGGAGACCACCACCGCGGCCTGCACCGTCATCGGCGAGGCGGACGAGCTCGGTTAGTGAGCCGGGACCGGCGCTTGCTCGCTACTGTCCACCGTGCGACCTGTCCTCACAATATAGCGTCTTTGCCCTCGGCGTTTTCCGTCGTTCGAGGCGCGCGTGCTGCCCTGGTGTGTTGGGGGCGATTTCAGACGCCCCGAAAGTTGAACTTAGCACTCGAGAGGAGCTGGATGTATTTTTATCTCATGACTGCCGAACAGCCTGCGCGTAGATGATCACCGACCCTCCGCACGCGACTTAAAAAATTAGAGCTGCTCGCCACGGAGAATAATTCACTTTGAAAACACAGGCTGGTTAGATTGAGTTAGAGTTCACTGGAGAGAGTGAACTTGTGTTCGTATCATTTTAATGACCAGACTCACAGTGACATATGTTCCATTAGGACACGCACTGCAAGAGAATGAGTGAATTCCTTAATCCCGCCAGTCTTTCATTTAATCATACGAAATTAATCACGAAAGCCGTTTGCGATGAAAAGCAGTCTCGAAGCTCATTTTGCGGCGGTCTTCTGTGTCTTTATTTTGTCTTCATGTGTTGAACAGGGAAAAGGAGAAGAGTGAGCTCGCTCCTCAGGAAGACGGCCGAGGCCGAGAAGTGCGGCGCCGGCGGCGCGCGAGTGGAGCTGCAGGGCTCCGACCTGTGGAACCGCTTCCACGAGATCGGCACGGAGATGATCATCACCAAGGCAGGCAGGTACTGTACGGCTCGGACCCGAACTCCCTGCGTCGCCGTTAACATGACAACGATCGCCATCACGGCGAAAACAGGGACAACGTGGATTTTATGGAATGGAAAACAGCTAAAACCAGCTTTGTCAGGAAAAAAAAAAGTTTTCCGTACTAATTTTAACTCCTAACGGAGTGCGTCGCCTGCTCTTTTCAAACGCTTTGGCGATTCCACCGGTAGTGATAAGTGACCTTCGGTTTGCTAGATGGGGTGAGCGTTTTAGCCTGTGAGTCTGCTTTTTCTATTACTTCGGCATCAGCGTTACAAATACGGGAAAGCCAGTGCACCCTGTCTGCGTTTTGGGAGGTTATCAGGTACTTAAACAGCAGAGCAGTCGACTTATTTTAAAATTAATACAGGTCTCGGACAGTTTGTGCATTGAACCGCTCAGGAGGTCAGCCTTCACGGGATCATGGATGATTTGAAAAAAGTGGGTCTTTTATTTAGACATTGATCCCTGCGATACATTTTTGCAGGTATTAAGAAATAATACGATACTCGGACACCCCGCTTTAAAAAAAAATCGTTAACGCCGCAAAACATCCTGTCAAAGGTTGTCTCCTTTAATTCCACAGATCCTTTTCTTATTACATTTGGAATTGTTAGAAAATTAAACGCGTATTGTCTGCCGCACAGGAGAGAGAATGTAGTTCTGTACTGAGGTGGTGTTGAACCGGGAGATGTTTCTCTCATGCAGTTCAGGACCGATGGCCGACGGATCAAACACCAGATAGGTTCCTTCTGGTTCGCCACTTTTATGTAGATCTCTGACCTCCTTTTATTTTCGGGAAGATTGCTAATGATAAAGATCGAACATTATAAACAAATATTAATAATAATTATTATTATTTCCCATTACCTTAACCAGATAAATGACAACTTGTTCACAGATTTAAGGCCTAGATTGCACTTAAATTTTAAAGTTTACTTCTTTTAAAATGGGCATTTTTATGTTTTGACATTTATAAACAAAGAAGGATATATTATAATAATAAAGTATTAATTAATATTCACAGCTTTAGTACTCTGCCGACGAGAAGGCATATTTTGAAGAGTTTTCTGAAAAGCAAGAACATCACATTAGATCCACCTTGGCTTAAATATCAAGACGCTTTTAAGTTTCTTCTAAATGGAATGATAATTACAATAAAAAATAAATCTGGTCATAAATACAACATTAAACGGTCAAACAAATTCTGTTCAATAAATGAGCTAAACATTTTCTAAACATTTATGGCAAGACGAGTTCAAATAATTATTTGAGCAATGAAACATTCATCCACAGTGATGTTGTATGTGACTGTTTACAGTTAATAAGGCTATATAAAATGAAATTATTTGCTGCAATAACTAATATGACTGTTGCTTGCAAGAAATGTAGTACTATTCCTCAAACTGCATTCCAGCTGCTTGCAAATGGATTTGTTGCCTATTTTTCCAGCACCCACAACGTGATTAAACTGCACTCTCCGTCTTCCATGAACCTCTTTAGACCTCCCCTCCCAAAAAAAAAACCCTCCACGCTTGCGTTGAGATCTGGAGAATGGGGAAGGCGAGGCAGTCTTCCAGAGGTGCTGTAGGTCTGGAACAGAATTGTTCTTGCATTTAAACTTACTGGCCGACTTCTTCAGGGCCTTCCTGCAGAACGCTCACAGAGCCTCCTCACACACCTCGCCCTGAGTTCATACCAACACTCACGCCTCAGGGCGCAAAGGGGTGCCTCTTCCAGGAGCTCCTAACAAACGAGGGGAGACCAGAGGCCAGCCCAGCCTGTTGGGGTGCTGTTGGCTACCGGATCCGAGGCTCGGCTTGGACACTGTGCCTGGGCAGCTGGCTCCAGACCCCCTTATACCCCGCAGGTGCTCCTCCGAGAGCTCCTCAGGGGGTCGGCCTCCCCCAGTCCGTCACCCTGCCATCTCAGCCACAGGATCCAGGACTCATCCGAAGCTTCTGGTGGGGCTTCGGATGGGGAAAACGGGCCGCCCTTTCCCGTCCTTTTCTTTTTTTGTGCCGACTGCACTGATGATGAATCCGGATCCGGTCAGACAATTCCTTCATTCCCTTCCTCGTTTAAAAAAACGATTCCTGCGGACACCCCTTCCCTCTCGTGGCCCAGCTCCGGCAGAACAGGTGCCGTTCTCCTCCGCCCTTCGGCTCAGCGGGGGTCAGATTACTTTTCCCGACCTCGCAGGGGCCTTAAGTTCCTGCGGCCGGATTCTCGGGATGAGGGAGCGTCGCTCCCGGTCGCGGACGCGTGCTTTACTCGGGCGGGATGAGGCCACTGTGGGGTTGAAAGAAACAGGGGTTCATGCTCATCTGTGTCCCCCTTTTCAGCTGCGTGAGATCAAACAGGGTTCTGTCGTCCAGAACGTACCCCTGCCTGCATGGGTGTCTCACTGCCGGTGACATAAAACAGCTCTGGGAAAATAATACTGGATGGTGCGTGCGTGGAGCTGAGGGGGGGACTGTTTTAAATGATGCAGAAACAGTGCCAGAAAAGTCAGTATTTGTTTTCTTCTGTAAAGGTTAATGCGATATAATAGTTTAAAATGAAGCAGCCATGTCATCCAAGAAAAGTATACACCCTATACTGTATGGATATGACTTACTAATGCTCTCATCAGACTTGGGGACAGGTTTGGGATCAGCCCAGATGGTGAATTTTAAGCGTTGAGCCCTTTAGCCTCATGGTAGAGGCACCCAGCCTGGTGAAGCTGGGGAGAGCTCATCCGACTGCCCCTGTTCTCCGGCCTGCAGGAGAATGTTCCCCTCGGTGAGAGTGAAAGTGAGGAATCTGGACCCGTTCCGGCAGTATTACATCGCCATGGACATCACGCCCGTGGATGCCAAGAGATACAGGTAACGCCTTCCCGATCGGTCGGCCGTAAGTAACGTCTCGGACGCTGTACCCACGGGGAAAAAAAAAACACTCGGGCCAGCAGAATTCGGAGATGGTTGGCGCGAGGACGAATGATGATTTGCAAATGAGGAGCTGCAGACGCGTTTACAGAGCAGATCGTCAGAAGTCAGAAGTCGTCTGTTTTGTTTTTTTTCCCCTGAAAATGCAGAAAATCACTAGGGATTTTACTCATGGCAAAATTCCACGACACTATTATTGTCGTTATTTCGAATCGGATAGTCAAATCATCTTTGAGCAGTTCGTGTTAAAATAAATCGTTATAAAATAATGCTGCTCGGCTTTGTGCGTAAACCCCATGGATAAATTATGTATAGGCACGACTCTTTCAGTGACCCATAACTTCATTGGTTCTCAGTAAAGAAAATATTCGCAGTTGTGTTTTTCGGTACTGTACATATTAACAGGCGAAACTTCAGAACATTTACAATGCTACTCTGACAGCAGAGGTGCAAAGAGCTGATAATATCGTGAATCGCTCCGTATAGATAGATACTCGGGTATCTATTCTGCCAATAGAGGCTGGACACGAGCACGTTCTGTCTTTGGCCGGGTCCGAGCGAGCTCGCGAGCGGCGGCTGGAATGCACGCACGCCGCTAACAGGGCATCGGGTCGTGTGGTAGAAGTTAGAAAAAGGTTATTTACATAGAAATCGCGCACGTCTCGTCCTCGTTCTCCAGCTCCGCGGCGGCACACGGACTCCACGCCCTTTGTTTTAAAGGGGATTTGTAACGACTGTGTAACTTTAAATCGTGGCGTCATGTGCGAGCCGTTCCTGTACCGCTGGACCCCGAATACTGTGTAATACACAGAAATGAAAATATGACGTGAGTGTTATTTACAGAAGCAGAAAAAATAAGCAGGTCTTGGGGAGAAATGTACTGGAGTGTTCCTCGAAGGCTGTGAGACAAGAGCGCAGAGAGGTACAATGAACACACCTGCGGCCTTCCACATTTATCACAGCAGACGAATGTGAATTTCTTTTGTTTCGGTCTTATTTTTTTGTTTGTTTGTTGTTGTTGTTGTCATCTGCTCTTTCCCGTAACGCCCGGCTTAACGTTTAAAGCCTCTAGAAATTCTGGAAACGACGAGACAATGCTGGAAAAGCGTAATGTAAAAAACAAAAAAAAAAACAAAGCGTAAAAACCGCTTCAGAGGTCCGCCAGCCCTCTGTGTTACAGTACAGTATGAAACCGCCTCCCAGCCTGGTGACCTGTCCCTGCCCGCAGGTACGTCTATCACAGCTCGCAGTGGATGGTGGCGGGGAACACGGACCACTCGTGCATCACGCCGCGCCTGTATGTGCATCCGGACTCGCCGTGCTCCGGGGAGACCTGGATGCGGCAGATCATCAGCTTCGACAGGGTCAAGCTGACCAACAACGAGATGGACGACAAGGGCCACGTGGGTTTCGCCACGACTCCCCTCTTTACTCTCTTCTCTTCCGCTACGTTTCCTTTCTCCGCCGTCAGAGGAAAAGTCGAGAACAGGCGCCGTTTATCGCTTTGATTTCAGGTGGCCAGCATTGCTATTTATACTACGGCCTGGAGGCCGCGATTTAAATATTTGTTGTGCCTGGAGTGATTTTTTTTAACCGAAGAACAAAATGAAAACGGGCGTGTAGATCGATAGGAGAAATATTTTAGTTACCGGGTGAAAACAAAAAAAAACAAACATTAAAAATGTAAAGCATTGTGAATAAGACATATGCAAATTGGTGTAACCCATTTAATGGTAATAATTAGTTATAACAGTTGATTACAACTACATTGGTTAAAATAGGTTAATGTTCCAAGTTATAATTAAAGCCTGTTTTAATTAAAAGTCTTAATTAAAGGACACTGCGGGACTATGTTACCTGACGTTTTCACCGATTCCGGATTTCATGTGTCGCTCCAGATCATACTGCAGTCGATGCACAAGTACAGACCCCGCGTGCACGTGATTGAGCACGACCCCCGGTTCGACCTGTCGCAGATCCAGTCCCTGCCGGCCCAGGGCGTGCGCACCTTCTCCTTCCCCGAGACCGAGTTCACCACCGTCACCGCCTACCAGAACCAGCAGGTACCGTGCGGGCCCAGGCCCGGGCTTCCGGCGCGCTCCAGTGTTCAATCGCATCGAGCTGTCGTTCGTCATTATTTACGCTTTCTTTATGCCGCCCGTGTTAATTCACTTAACACATACTAACGAATCAAAACAACAGAAATGTGATTGTGACCACACCTGCCCAGTACTTCTGTATTGTAAAACCCTCTGGCTGGGAAAAAAGAAAGTTTCGTGTCGGGCAACGATAACAGTAACGAATCATGGATAGACCTCATAATTTAATTGATAATACTCTGTACGCACGGTCTTTTTTATTAGAAAAAAAAACCCGTTCATCCTTCAGTTCAGAAGGAACACGATTAGAAATCGGGGTGTCGTCCAGAACGGTTCCTGCGATCCTAGAGGATAATGAGCATTTTGCGTTATGGTCGTGTGCGGCATTTATGACTAATGTTTCAGTCAGGTCTGCACTGTGATTGTGAGTACAGCTGGACAGCGCGGCTCAGCGCGGGGAAGTGATCGATCCGAATTGATTGGCTGGGCGATTCCGATCACCTTCCCGTGCAGTTCTCGTATCGATTAACTGCTCCTGTCCCCTGCGATTGTTTGTTCGTGATTGTGATTGGTCCTGTCACCGGTCGACTGTGTCACATAAACGAATTGTTCATTTTATCAGGGCTTCCGCCCCGTCCGCTTTCAACGGAAATTCCGTTTGATTCGCTTTTGTGTTCCGTCTATACCGCTGGAGCAGCGGAACAACCGCAATTTCATGAGGACTCCGGCTTAACCCAGGGCTGGCTCATCAACCTGTGCGCCCAGTTCACGGTCACAGCGGCAGACCCGAGCAGGCAGAGAAGAGAGGGGGGGAGCTCGGATTTGGCAAACAGCGTCTCCCCGGGCGAAATCTCAAGCTTTGACCCGCCAGCTGGGTGCAGGGGAGGCTGGTTTGATTAAAAATGATGGTTCCAGTAAGGATTTTAGCCACTGCCTTTAAACTGGGCCAAGAGCGGGGCGCCCCGCAGAGGCCTGGAGATAAAACACACTGCGTGGAATAAGGAGGAAATCCAGCATCAGTCGAGATCAATTACTTCTTACGGAAGGAAGCCTGTTGACGGTCGGAGGAGCACGTTTCAAAGCCTTGCCCCTCTGACAAGGCAGCGGTCTGTAGCGCAATAATATCCCTGCTTATAGGCCTCTTTAAAATGCTTCCTTTTCTAGTCGTTCATGAATTCTGCTCCCGACGACGCCAGCGGGCTTCGAGATGAATCATGCCCACGAAGTCTCAATAATATCCGACCCCGTTTCTTTTCTGTGCTTCCGCCACCAGATCACAAAGCTGAAGATTGACAGAAACCCCTTTGCTAAAGGATTTAGAGACCCTGGAAGGAACAGGTACTGTTTTTTGCCCTCGAGTCTGGAAATGCTGTAGAACAGGCCAGGGTGGTTGTGTGTGGGTTGCAATGTTGGAAAGTGGGAGTCAGGGCAAAGTCCAGCAATAGAAAAGCTCCCTTTTATTTTACATTACATGTCAATCTTTAGAAGGCGAGAGACTGCAATACAGAGGCAGTTCATTGTTTTTCTTACAGCTTGTTCACGTTCCCCTCTGGGAATCCTGTCCTGGGTTAAGGTTCGTGCCCGAGAGCTACCAGAGCAACAGGCAGGAAGGCAGTTCCTAATCCCGTCTCCTGAGGGACACCTGTCCCTTCTGCTTTTCACCCCCAAGTCCGTCACCACGGCCGATTCATTTCAGCTCTCTTCTCGGCCCGTGGCACATTTGAAAATTTGTTTTCGGCTCAAAAAGAGTTTTGAAGGGGCTTTGTAGCTGTCCTGTAAGTCTAATCGAGGGCAGATCATGCAGTGATCAGTGTGGCGAAGGTGCTGGAACCCAAACTGGGGTGTTTTTGAATCCCAAGAGCAGAAAACCACATAAGCCAAGAGTCTAAACAAGAAAGATCAATTTAAGGCACTAGTGATTAGATAAGGCACTGGTGATTAGGAGCTCAGCTGGAAGCCAGCAGTGACAGTGTTCCTCCAGAACCAAGGATGGAACGTAAATCACTGGTAAACCATCTATCCAGTTGCTTCTGCAACAGGCAGCTGTTGTAACAAGCAGATCATTTGTTGAGCATTGTCTACTCCAAACCCGTGCACTCTACCAGAACAGATTTATTTTGAACAACTTAGCTGTGATATTGTGGGAAATGCTTCTCTTCACATAAGCCTTTGAAAGTCTTTTAAATGCCTCATGGAACAAATACTGACATTTTCACATTTAATGCCACTCACTGCTGCTGCAGGCACCCGCTACCATGATCAGCTTGAGGCCAAGCCCGTCTTTGCCCTACAAACACCGCTCCTCCTCTGTGTCCGCAGGGGCGTCCTGGACGGGATCTTGGAGTCTTATCCCTGGAGGGGTCCACTCAGCCTGGATTTCAAGCCGTTTGCCTTGGACCCCCAAAGTGAGAACGACATTAATTCATTCAAAGAGGGCGGTTTTGCTTTTGTCCTCGTTTACCAGCTTTCCTAGACAGAGGAAAGGGGTCTTCGTACCGGGGGTCCTTCCCTGTTATAGTGAGACCGTGCAGTGGCGTGCTCCACGTTCAGGTGGACAAAGCTTCAAGTATCTGCAGTGCTGATTGATGGACTGATTGAAATTACTAGGGGGGGCTTTTTTGTTAAAATTACACCTTTCCTTCAGAGGAGGACAGGTAAGTTGTTAATCAGTTGCTTAATTGATTGTAAATTTACAGTAGGATGGATTAAAGTTCTTCCCCCCCGCCAGAATACCAGTGTTAGTTATCGCTCTCTCAGGGTGGTGTAGCAAGCTGTCTGTATGAAGACGGGTTCATGAGCGTGGACCACATTCTCTGTCTATTCTGCAGACGGGAGCTGCCGGCCCCCCTCGAGCTGCGGAGCCCTGTCTTCTCCCTCCTGCTCGCCTCAATCCTTCCCCTTGGGCCTGCCCTGCTCGGACACATGCCTGCACAGCATGGCCCTCCCTCTGTGCTACAAGATGGCCCCCCCCGCCGGAGTGGCGAGCCCCCGCCCCTACAGCGTCCCGGGAGCCGACAGGCTGCAGGAGCCCCCGGGGGTGAGGTCCCTCTCCGACTTCTCTCTGCTGCCATCCCTGCGGGGCCAGAAAGAGCCGGACTGCAGGGGCCAGTGCTTCCAGGTGTCCCCCCCCGGAGTCTCGGCCCTCCGCCTGCAGGGCCTGCCCCCGCCCGCCCTGCGCCACGCCCCCCCGCCCTGCTCCCTCTACAGCTACAGCCTGCCCGTGCCCCCTCACTTGGCCAGCGTGACCAGGCACCTCAAGCTGGCCAGCGGCGTGTCCCTGACGCCCCCCGACGGCCTGCTCTCTCAGACACCCTGGCACCCCGCCATCAACCACTGCCTCTGATCGCCCCGCCGGGCCGCGGGTTCGGGTTCGGTGCGGCCAAGGCGCCCAGCACGTCAGGACGCGGGTGGAAGAGGGACTCTCTGGGACGTGACGCAACAAGACAAGCAGACCGAGTTCACAAACTCACCTCGTGTGCCAGGGGAGAGGGCTGGACCAGCATGACAGAGCTCATTTTCGCAAAAGCGAAACGAAGGCTTTAAGACCTTAACAGGTGCATATTTACAATGACTGTAAACAACTTAAGGCTGCTTGAGGTAAGCTAATCCTAGTGACAATCAGGTTGCTTATAAATAGTAATGAATGAAGAAATTACGCTCTTACTTAAGTGCCCTTTAGAGATTAAAAATAACCACTAGAGGTTTCCTGTTAGTATTTCGTATTAACCTGTAGGCATTTTTACATTTTCTATGACCTAGAAAGCATAGTCCACACCTGCCAAAAAAAAGATGTATCATAATTTGAGTTATGCCACATGTAAATAAGACTATGCATTCTTGTTCTCTGCACTTTGTACATTTTAAATACACTGTACATAAATTACAGCAAAATGTTAAATAAATGAGGTTTTTTTCGTTATTTTTCTGCAAATGCATCCTTCTAGAAAGCCGGCCACGACCTTGTCCTCGTGGGTCAGGGACGACGGAGCAGGGGGCTCACGAGCTCTGCGGTCACGCTCTCACCCTGTGGCAGGGAGGTTAGACTGAGTAACGGGATGGATCCGACACCGCGGCCAAGAGGCCGGCCGGAGTCCGGTTTCTCGATCTGGTTCCACCATGCAGGAGGGGGGGATGGAGCGAGTGTGTCGGCAGAGCCCAAACAGCCCCAGACCGTACCTGTGAAGGGCAGATATCTAAGGAGACGTGTTGGCACCTCCCATTCCTGACTATGATGTCAAAAACCATGAATAATAATAATAATAATAATTGCTAACACTTATATAGCACTTTTCTGGACACTCCACTCAAAGCGCTTTACAGGTAATGGGGATCCCCTCCACCACCTGTGTAGCCCCCACCTGGATGATGTGACAGCAGCCAGAGTGCACCAGTACTCTCCCCACACACCAGCTCTCCGCGGGGAGGAGATCAGAGGGATGAAGCCTCAGTAGACCTCTACTGCATGTAGCGAGGCGAGCAGTAAACGCAGGGAAGGCTTCCCCTCCGTCCCCCTTCAGTAACCCATTCCTGAGGTCGGAATGGGACTGTGGAATGCCCCGGGAATGAGATGAAGGTTCCAGGGATATTTTAATGGAACCACATCGATCCTAACCTTTCCTACAGGCAGTGTGCCTGGAACCGCAGCCCCTCCCAGAGGAGAAGGCAGGGGCTCGTTTACTACCCTCTCCCCCCCAAAGAGCCCCTCTTTTCAAGAGCGTGGCCCCCCAGACCACACTCTCAGCGCGTCGGAAACCATCCAGGGCCCAGAGAACGACTTCCAGCCGGTACAGCAGCAGCAGCAGGTCCAGGGGGTCTTGAGGTCACACCACCTGCTTGTTTCAGCAGGTCTTTCTTCTGGAGCGGTCAGGAGCGGCCAGCCACGAGCTGGGCCTGACAATAACGGAGCAGACCGGGTCGGGCCAGTCAGAAACGAATTGTGGGGTCACACCCTGTCCTCGGGTGAGGGGGCAACGCTAAGCTCTCTGATGTGAAAAGACCCACGAAAAAAAGCGTGTAGTAAACATCACGAGCCTCTCCAAATCCTCAGCTTTGAAACATACCTGCGTGTCCTGCACACGGCACACGCCGCGCTTTGAGTCTCTAGTGGCCAATTCACGTGCGAGTTGTGCATCAGGGAGCGTTTTCTTCCTCTCTCCAGAGAGACCAACACATTTGATATTTAAACAGTGGTGTTTACACCGTTCATGCGACAATCTAAACTCGCCTTCTCTTAAATAATTCCACAGTTTACCTCTTCCTGCAGATTGCCAGATAGGTTGAACTCAAGGGGCCTCTGCTCTTGGCAAGCTCTCCTTGCTGAAATGCTAGACGCGCAGGACCCGCAACGAGACGCGCTCCTTCTCGCGGTACAGAAAAACCGCCTCTCACGACATGCATGGGTCGGGTCGGCGGATTTGTCAAGCGATCTTGATTTTCATATAGAAAAATCAACACGGATCGTATTTCGTGTAATAGCGCTGGTGTGCAAGTTCCACAGCAAGGAGCTGCAATCGCAGCCAGGCTCCAGCAGGAAAGAAGTGGGATTAAAAACGCGTGCCGCTTGCGCCGCCTATACCGCACCACTGGAAGAAAAAAAAAAATCGCAGTTCTAAACCTGTTCTAAAGGGCTAGGGCTTTGATACGGAAGGCAATTAGTGCATTATTATCTCGAGGTAATGCAATAACTTTTTTTTTTCTCCGTGACGCTAAAACCATTCCTTACGGAATTCGACTCACCAGCGCTCAATATTCTTCACCGACTAGAAGCCGCTACCAATACAGGGAACCTGCATCCCGACTGCTTACCGTCTATCGCCTCCCGCAACAGGAGTCCCGACTGATGGGCGAGTTGGAGGACTCGTATCTACTTTCCCTTTGCCGTTTAGGGCCCGGCTGAAACAGTTTCGGGAAACTGCCCGCGGTGATTTAGATGTAGGAAGAAAAAAAAAAGTCATTTTAAAACTCACTGTAATCTGCGCAGGAAGTAAGTCTTGATTTCTATTAATCGGGTTTGAAAGCTGACGGCACAAGTATTACCCATCGCTGCAATAACCCTACAGTATGCTGGTTGTCTTGCTGGTGCACAAATACTCCGAGTAGAAGAGGAATATCACAAATTAATTCTAGCGGACCCGTCTTCTTCACTTACCCCAACACCGTATTTACGAATATGACACTCTTGATATGTGTTTTTTGTTTTTGTTTAATAATCCCTATCGCTCTGAACGGCTCTTGACAACAAACGCGCAACATTCGTACCGGGTTTGCGCTGAAGCTACACTCGCCTCCGTTATGAACAGAAGAGACACGAGTCGAGTATTAACCAATACATGAAGCACTGAAGACGAGTCCCGGGAACACCGGGAACGTAAATACTGTGTTGTAACGCCAGTAAAGACTAATCGATGCTCCCACTGCTGTCCAAACACGTGTTTTTCGTGCCTGAAGTGAGTCAATGGCACTTCTGTGCTCGTCTCCTGCGGGCACAGGGGCTCGTTGAGCACAAGCAATTACAGAATTTGTTCAGTTTAGTTAGACCGGAGGGAGAGACCATATCAAAGGGACATTAATACCGGGGAGGGTTATTTATTAGGAGGGATCTACGCAGCTCATTGACTGAGAAGGGTGGGTCGGTGCTTGGCAGGGAGTCTCTCTACTTGCCCCCCCCAAAACACAAAGAGGGCTTCAACAGCAGAGCAACGTGGAACAAATAGGTAAACGGATCTCTTGAAGTGCTGCCAGGTTTTTAAGACCGTGTTGAGGCTGAGCGTCCGCCAGCCTCTCACATCGTGTTCCAATAAAGACCTCGAACATCGAGATGACTGGCAGGATGTTTTCAAACGCGGAACGCAGGCTCCCCGATAAGAGCTCAGCTCCCTCTCCACAGCCAAACCGCAAGGAAGCGTGTATATATACATATTTCACAACCAGAATCATTAACGAATTCGTAACAGTTCTCTTTCTCCCCCGGGACACAATAAAGAACAAAGTAAATAACTAATCGGATGTGTCTGTCCGTTTCCTTCGGCGCTCATCTCCCGGGTGCGTGTCGGATTGTAGGCGAAACCCTCTTTTATAACGTTTCAGTCTCCCTCAGGCTTCTCTTCGGACTTTCCCTGGTGCCGTTGTCGTCGTCGTCGTCTCCCTGCTCTTTAAGGAGTGGGGCTATTTTCGCCCCCCCTCCTGCCTGAACTGCCAGTTTTCAGGAATGAGAATGACCTTAACCGCGGGGAAATGGCTCGTTTCCCGAAGGAGGGGGAAAACCGAAAACACAATTTGAGCTGCCAGGGACTCTCCGCGAGCCAGGAGGGTAACGTCTGTGCCGCCGCCGCCCCCCCGTGGAGGGAGAGGCCCCCGGTAAAACGTACCGTTACATCTCAAACCGCTCGGGCGCATCATTATTTAAACGACCCACGCGGCGTCCACGGACTCCAATCAAGCGAGCCAATTGCGGAATGTCCGCCGCGTGAGTTTAACCGATGGTGACATGCCCCGGCACCATGCCCCCTATTTGTCAGAGGCCCATAAATTCAATCCCCAAGTAATTGGTTTTGCTCTGATAACCATGTGTCAACAATATGCACCTGTCTAATCAATTTGCTCTTTCCCACCCCCCCCACCTCCTCTCTCTCCACGTGACTTCCCATCGCGCCAAACGAGATCCACCTGTCTTCTCCCTGCCTACAGATGACAGGCTGTTCGCTCTCTGGGCTCGGAGAGCTGTGATTAGAGGTCTGGCTTTCATTACTCACTCCCCTTGAAATGCCGAAATAACAGGTCATTAATTTGCAAGGTTTAAAGTGGGCTTACTTATTTCAAGATGAGATTTTGACTAAGTCTGGGTTGTTGGTATTACTCTTCATCTAAGCACGTTTTACAGGTAGAATACTTTGGAACCGATGATAATATGAAACAAATATTGATGTAAAAAAACGGCTGCTAAACAACATCTTAATGCAAATAAACAGTGATGTTAGGAGAAAGCTCCCCTGTCACCATACCTGCCCTCCAAAACGAGCTTCCTTTGGGAAAGTCTGCATCGACACACGCAAGCATGTCTCAGTGTTTTTGGAGGACGTGCTTCAGAATGATTTCTTGTTTCAGAGAGGCCGATCCTGAGACTGGGCGAGTTCTCGATTCAGAGAGGCCGATCGTGAGACTGGGAGGGTTCTAGATTCAGAGAGATTGAACCTGAGACTGGCATCCAGACATCCTTGGATGTCATCCAAGATTGCAGGGTAAAATATTTCGGAATGCAGCCTGGGGGTGGGGCAGAGCCAGCATATCAGCATGGAGGAAAAAAGAAACTAGCCATCAGACGTCTATAAGAAATGACTGGCTAGTGATAGCAAGATGGTTTGAGTTCTAGTTGCTACCAAAGGCTCTACAAACTATTGGACTCTGGCATCCCTGAGGAAACTCATAAGATAAGATCACTGTATTGGCCATATACAATTTCCTGTATTAGAAATTTGTCTTTTTGCAGACCCCAACTTGCTCTCCATGAGACACACAGACAGGGAGAGAAGCTGGGGGTCAGAGCACAGGGTCAAACATTTATACGTCACCCCTGGAGCAGTTGGGTTTAAGGGCCTTGCTCAGGGGCCCAATGGAGTAGGATTCCTCTGCTAACTGGGGGATACAAACCAGCAACCTTCCAGCCACAGGCACAGATCCTTACGTTATTATTAAGTGTGATGTGTGTTGGTTCATCTACATGTGATATGGGTTAAGCACAGATGCTGTGTTTGTGCCTTTCATCTCCATTCCATTTCTTAAAGTAACAGCGCAACTCCCCACACAGTGCAACTGCATCATAGTCTCACTTCATTACTTCCTATTGTACATGAAGTAATTCCAGGCTACCAGTCACTGAGAACAAATAAAGAGAGCTTTGGTACTGGCAGGCCCATAGGAAAA